CTTTCTTATTTGTGTACCTACCAATCGACCACAAAAACAATACACTAGTAACAACTAAGGCGAGAGAGAAAGAACTTAAATATATACATTAAATTTGGTGCTTTAAACAGGTATGGTTTGGTGCAAAGTCACTGTATTTGGGTTGCTGGAAATTGTGGGGCGTATCATACTTTAGCAATCAAATATTTTGATTAAATAACATAATTAAGTAATCTTTTATAATTGTGAAATCTTCTTCTTTGATTCTTCTTCTCGTCTCAATTCATTTTCCCATTTCTACTGTTAGTCTGTTACACATTGACCATGAAGAAGATCAATTTGATGCTTTGAATTAAAATGCAAGAGCCTCTCGCGGCTGCAGCTGCAAAGATCCTCATCTTACGGCAGCCTTAGGTCTACACATCTGCTAAGGAAGAAGATTTACTGGCGCTATCTCAAGGAAGATGATCATGATGAATGTCACTATTATATACGTAATCCAGTGTGAACCATCCTCTCTGGTGAATGCATTGATAGAGAGATCGAGGCAGAAGCAAGGAGAGGGCAACATAGTTGTGATCCAGTGAGAGGTAGTTTTGTTTCACTTTGACCATCTCTTGTGGACGCTTGTAAATTCTGACCCAAATCTCATCTTAGGTTCCATTGAGGAACTCACAAACCCCTATCTGTTTTGAAATGTTAATTGTTAGGGTTTTTTTTTTTTTTGAAAAGCGTTAATTGTTAGGGGGTAAGTAGTGAATTTTATTTTATAATTATTTTTTTGGAAGGTTTTGATAGGTTACGCTTATACATATTATCAATGTTCCATGTCAGGAAGTGATTGGAGGTTTTTAATGTTTGTTTCGTTGATTAATGTTCATGGAATAAGTACCAAAGTGAACATTGTTATTCTTTATTTCTAGTCTAACTCAATTTGGTCCAATTTGGTCCGATTTTAAACATACAAATGTTCATGGCTTAAAGATTGATCAAGCATTGAATTGGGAAGTTAAATAAATAGAGATTTCAGATTCAATTTTATGTTTTATATTTGTGTTTGTAAGTAAAGAAATTTGTATGTGATCTATTGCCATCTTTCTACTGGATTATTGCATTTTTTATTTTTAAGGAAAGTTATCTAAAAAGTCATCTTGTTGATTGACAAAAAATTTTTAATTTGGTATGAATAGTTTATTTTTAATTGGATGAAAAAGACAACTATTTCAAAATTTGTGCAAATCTAATTAGAGACTTCCTAACCGTTTACGAGAAAATAATTGACTATACTTTGTTCACCTTAAAAATATGTAATTTTTTAATATTTTAAAAATATATAAAACATATAAGGTGAATACTTATCAATTTTGATTTTTAAAAATAATTAAATTTTTAATTTATATTTAAAAATTAAAATTTTATCTTATTAAATATTAATATTTAAATTTAAAAACTCATTATATATTAAAATTATAATTTATTTTGAAAGTTAAAATTGATACGTAATTTTTTTAAAATATATATTATATATAAAATAATAAAAAATATAAAAATTAAAAATTAAAATACATAAAAGTATTCCTAATCGAAGCCCTAATAATTACTCGAAATCCCGCTCCACTCATATATATCCACCTTGAGTAGCTTGCCACAGTATTAAGTACTATATAGCATAAATTTTATTTATGGTAAGATTATCAAGTTAGGTTAAGTTTAATAATATTAATTTATAGTTATATACGTAAGTTTTTTTAATTTTTTAACATTTAAAAAAATATAAAATATGTTTTGTATATTTAATATTTATTTTAATTAATATTTTTTTATATTTTAAAAAAATAAAAAAATA